AAAGGCGAATTCAAAAAAAACCAACAAATAATGCAATGAATTCATTGTATTATAATTAAAAATAATCAAATTTCAAACGAAAATAATTACTTATCTATTTTTAGTAAAGTTTAATTAATTGTTAACCTATTTAAATTAATTTTGCTCAGTTATAATTTTTTAAATAAAATTTTATTATTGATTGAAATTTAAAAAAAAAGTTTTGAAAAATTAAAATTTAACTGAGTTAAATTAATTTTGCTCAATTTTGAAATTTTAATATTTCAACAAAAAATATTTGCAAATGAAATTTTTATTTAATAATTATTTCTATTAAATTTAACAAATATTTGTTATCATTTGTTTGTAATAATTTAAACCTTTTATGTTATAAAATGTCATAAATTTATGTGATTGATCAAATGAAACATATGTGATTTGACATTTTAAATGTAACTGGATATAGGTCAAGTTAAAATTGACAGATTAGCCTTTTGCACTCTTGAGAAAAGCGCTATTTGCATTCATATTTCATAATCAAAACAATAATTACTGAGATTTATAAATGAGATATATACCTCTTATTATAGTAAATCCGGGAAATAGTTTTGTAATTAGTGAATAATTATAATTATAAGCTAAAAGGAGGATAATATATAGCAATATTAATATTGCAAATTTGTAAAATTATTTAATTAAAATTCAAAAAATTAAAACTGTTAACTTATAGGAATTCACAATGATTTGTAAAATTTATCGAAAATTATTGCTGAAATGAAAAAAAAAGCAAAAAAAAAATAACGGCTAATTTAATTCCGTTCATTTGATATGCTTAAGAGTCTAGGACTAGGCTTGAACTAAGTCCAAAAAAAAAAAGGAAAAAATCAGCCATAAATGCAAAATAATAAAAGATAGGCTAATAAAGAAAAGCAATCGATCGTAATTGCTGTCTTATCTCGAAAATTTCAAATAATTTCGATTCTGTCATATCAGTTGTCATGTAATTTTCCAGTAATTTTCCCATGCCAAAAAATAAAAAATAAAAATGAAAAATATAACGAAATAAAAGTAATTATCCCAAATGAATGGAAATGAATTTAATTATTGGAAGTAATTTTTTTTTGTTTAATCAATTAATTAAAATTATAACGAATGAATGAAATGATTACATTAATGTATTGTTGTTTTAAAGATAAAATGATATGAATTTAACTTTCTCATAACCAACAATAATGATAACAAAATATTGGAATTTTATAGAAATGAAATGATTTAGAAAAAGAATTTGTGAATGTTAAATTTGCATAATTTAAACAATCAAATCAGGTCGAAGAATAAATTATTATAAATCGAGTACTTGAAAATAATAATTAAAAAGAAATAAGAATTTTTATTAATTTTTGAATAATTTTTATTAATTTTGCATATATATATATACGTGTAGAAAAGATTTGAATCAAATGATGAATGAAATTTTCACAGCTTAAATCAAGTTAAAACGAAATATTCTTTTAGCTCAAATAAGCTTAGCTTTTGGCTTTCATGCATAAATTGGCTATTAAATATAATTAATTGAAATTGATGAAATATTTTATCAGATTACAATTGTATCCCATCTGGTATTAACCATTTGTTAAATATTCTCCCTTGTGAATTGTAATAATCTGTTATATATTTCAAATAAATTTATTTTACAAAAAAAAGGAAAATTAAACCATTCATAGATTATTAAGCTAATTTGTGGAAAAGCGTAAAATTTTCTCACAAATTACATCATTATTATCAATTTTCATTAAATTCATTTGAAGGAAATGAGTACAATGGAGTTAATTCATAATTAATTTGAACTCATAAATAATTTAATTTCTATTTCCTTTTCAATTTTCCTCTTCAAATACAAAAAAATATTTCTATTTGATAATATTTGAGAAAATTTTAACAGTAATTTTAATAATTTATGAATATATGAATTGAATGATAGTAGTACTACAAGAAAAAAAAAAGGAAAAAAATTGAAACCTTAAGAGAATCATGAAGCATTGCATCATATACTGTCGCATCAAAAAGACAATTATCCAATGATCGAGCAGCAAAATTACTTGTATCAATGATAGCATGTTTTGGGATTGAACGAGCTACACGTGGTTGTACATCAGCTAATGTTTCTAATGCTTCCATAAGATATCCCGGGTCTGAATAATTTACTGCACCAACTGAATAAGCTTTTTTTGACATCAATAATACCGGACTTCGTTCCATCATACTACGACTTTCACTTTGTGATCGAGCATTCGATAAAGTACTCGATTGCATTGCTAATGAATCCTCGGTATTTATTTGTTGATCCTTATGAGAATTTTTATAATACCGCTTGCTATCCGTAAATGTGAAATCGGTTTTTGATGGTTCATATTGTTGTTGTTGTCGTTGTTGTTGTTGTTGTTGCTGTTGTTGTTGTTGTTGTTGTTGTTGTTGTTGTTGTTGTTGTTGTTGT